CACAAAAGCTGCTCTGCAAGAAAAAAAAAAAAAAGTCAGGTAAGGCATAAGCCACAACATATATGCTCAAACAGTTTCCTTTAAAAACAAGAGCTTCTCTGTTGTCAGTTCTGCTCCAATTATCTCTCCCTTACAAACATAGCAGCGTACGGGAACCAAAAGGTGAAGTCTAATCTACCTTGCTGACTTCGGTTCCAGCCTGCAAAGGTACTTTTTTCCCAGTCAGAGGCAGCCATTTGGTGTTCTAGTGAAACCAATTTATCAAAAAAGCTAAGCCCTCAAGACAATGTGATACACCTTATTCTCAGCTGGAAAAAAAACCCTCACACTAACTCATCTATTTCACGCCATCTCCCAGAGCTTCAAAACATTCTGCTTGAAATGACATGGGGCAAGTCCCAGAGCAGAAAAAACAGCCAAGCCTAGCAATATGCCTTTCCTCTCCCTGACTTGGGCTCCCTAGACATCCCAGCATTCTGCAGTTCCCAACCTGTCCCCCAGAACCATTATGAAACCATGAACTCCAGCTGAAGAGGTTTGAACAATGCAGAACAAAGTTTGATTTCAAGAACTTCTATGACAAACTCCTTAACACAAAACTTCAGAAGACTTACGACAGTCTAAAATGCTAGAAACCAAGCACAGTGTAACACGGGACTGGCACGGTCACCCCAGCATCAGCCATGGAGCAGCAGCGTAAGAGGACGCATGCTGGCTGGCCCTGCAAAGCACGCAGACCTACACCAGCACCCCACGCTCACGTTCATGCCGCACAAGGGGGTCCAAAAGAGCAAGTGGCCAAGACTGCTGTGGACTTTGAGAGAAGTTAAGCTCCACTTGAACTTGAGTGAAGCAGTCCTAAGTAGAAGCGCACAAAACAGTACAATGAATACCCATAAAAATTATCACTGTTGCACAGAAGATGGGGAAACAATATTTGTGATCAACCAAAATGATCAAGCATGGTTTCTACAAAAGTGCGTCCTGTGGCTCCAACTCCCTCCATACCCCTCCAGGTCAGCTACCCTAATTCTCTACTACTACCCATGTCCTATTAACAATCGCTCTGAGCAGGAGGTGAATGCCAGCTGTGTGCCCCTCAGCCACCATGAGATGACAGGGAACAAAGACAACTTGGTCACATCTACCCAAATTAATCCACCACATTGAATGGCAGATCTCTACTATTCAATCACTCATTTCCACAAATTTGAGGAACATTTGCCAGGACTTCTACTCCATTTATTCTGGTGTTAGCCAATAGGTTCAAAAGACACTTGGGTCAGGATCAGACAACATATGCAGGCTAATAGTGTAAGCATGACCACCTTTAACTTTGCTTCTCATTAAATCACCAAATGATGGAACAAAAAACTCCCCATACAATATATGGAGGCACTGACCCGTGTGTCTACATTAAGTTAAGAAAAACCAGAAATGCTCACTTTCTCCCTCTGCTTTCAAGTGGACTGTCACAGCAGACCCCAAAGCGGAATCATCCCAGGTTTGTCATTTACACAGCAACCGGGCTGAACAAGACTGCAGAATCGCAGCTATTCAGCTTCCCCTAGAGTTTTGCTTCTGATTTTGAAGCACCAAAAGTTCTCACCAAGCAGCAAAGAACAGACTCAACTGTTTCAGCAGTTACCTGGAGCAGAAGCAGTCAGTTCAAGACTCCTCCATTAGCACAGCACCATACAGCTGAAAAAAATCCACCCTAACATTCTCCAGAAAAAAAATCAATGTGGATTTGAGTACTTTGATAATGAGTGATTTCCAGACACGTAAATGCACAAGCACCAGCAGTATGAATGGCATACAAGAAATATTAACAAAAAACATGCCACAAAAATACTCTAGGCAGTATGATGGAATTAACAGTGTGGTCCTCATACTTGCTAATGAAACTTTACTTACTTTTAATAGAGTTTGCTGGCAAAAATATGAACTATGGTTACATAAAAATATGCATATCCAGTTTCTACATGTATTAATTCTTCCAGATAGACATATTTACTCTAAACAGCAGAAAAAACCCAAGCAGAACACTCATTTAAATGGCAGAAAACTAGTAGAAAGATGCTAATATGACCTTAGTGTAGCATGTCAAGTGTCACTGCCACCAGCTTCCTAGTCATTTTAAGAACAATCTGCTAAGACAATTAATTACATAGCTTAAAAGATTAGGTCAACAGTGTCACATACGAGAACATGAACTTGAAATTTAGCCTTTTTAAAATGTGTGCTGTCTATTTAAATGTCTACATCAATTGGCGAAAGAATAGTAAGTCTAAGACTTGAAGAGTTACTTCTCAGGAGAAGCAGAGGTTTTACCTTCCATAAAAGAAACTTAAATACAGCAATTAGAAAGGCTGACAGAATCCCTTGGCCGAGAGAACAGATAGACTTGCAGCCTGCTGATCTAAGGGCTACTTTAGAAAAAGGCTGTGATTAAAAGTTGACATTTAATATAACACTATTTTAGAGTAGTGGCAATTCTTAAAGTGGTATTTTGAAAACTAAAACTGCTTTAAACAAACAGTGCAGTCTGGATTCTTCTTGAATAGTTAAACATCCTTCTTGGAAACCTCTTATTACCATAACTTTTTTCTCCCCCAGTCAGGTCTACAAATAAAACTCATAGCTAGGACATAGGTTGGTTGCTTAGCTTCTAGTTCTGGCACTCGTGCCCAAGCACGTCACCCTCCCCCGGCTCAGTTCTCAGACAGCGAAGTTCACCATGGTTCAAGTCTCCTTGCAGGAGTTTCAGCCTGTCTTCTCTTCCTCAGAGCAAGGTAGGCATCTGCTGCCAGCCCAGCCAATTGTGCATTCAGCTGAACTCACCCTTTAGCTACATTTAAGATTTGTAAGATATCCCATGGAGGAGATTATTAAGTCCTTGGAAGTCTGTTAGCTCTCAAAAGTTGTAGGATTTTTACAAATTCCAGAGAAACAATTGTCAAATTTACCAAGAGTAATGCTTACAACCCGTTTCATCCTTGTGCCAGATAAGCAACCATTCAGACAGAAAACACCAGAGCAAGTAATTGACGCCAGAGAGAAGTTCTGCCTGGCAGCACCAGGTACACAACTTTGCATGAGCCATCTGGCCTTGTCACCCAGGCAGCAGATAGCAGTTCACCCTGCACACCTCTATCTCAACATGTCCGCAGCCCTCCGAAAGCTGCAGAGAAAGCTGAAGTGGTTGGATACAATTAACTGCCTAGCTTTAAGCAGCTCAAGTTCAGGGCCGTCTCCTTGCAGTGACCCGAGGGAACAAAAAAAAGCCACCAGCTGAGTGGCCCTGTGGCCACTGACTCCATCAATGGCTGGTAACAGATGCCAGAGAGTAGTATGCCCAAAGCAAGTTTACCATAATGCTTTGCCCAAACATTCCCCCAGCTTCCAGCTATTAGGAACTTCATGACTTTCTCAACTAGAGGCAGAGCTGTGTGCCTAACAGCAATGCTTAATTTTCCCTTCCTGAATTTACCCAGGAATTTACCCATCGATCATCATTTCCATGTCAGATGGCTGGAAGTTGCTCATTATATTTATAAATAGAGATTTCTGTGAAAACTACCATAAAGACAAAAACAACTAGCAAGATGCCAGTCTAGGGGAAACTTTACAATCAGAAGCAGGGCCTAGAATAACTAATTTGTACTTCTCACAGCCACTCACATAGTGCCTATACTTTTACCTATTTCCTGCTACTACTTCAAATCCTTTAAGCTATGCATTAGTACCCAATAAACTGCAACCAGAGAAGCAGTCTTTATGTAGTAGAATCTAAGAATATTTTCATTTATTCCTCATGCTTAACCCCCTGCAAATGCTCAAAGCCTTATAGCGAGATTTTTGAATCAATACGTATGTTTTAAGTAGCACATAATATCTTACAGCTCATGCAGTAAATAGTTTAGAATTCAATATGTTTTTGTTGTTTTTTAACCCTAATCTCAATCTGTAAAGCTTTTCTTGGGTGTAGCCTGGTACATGCTACAGCACCTGCATAGTCACCTCCCCAGCACCCTGCCTCTTTGGTGGATCCATTCCCCTCCCCATTCCACACGCTCTTAAAAAACTCAGTTCCAAAAGGGAAAGACTGTTTGAGACAGAAATCCACTGGCACATGCAGAGAGCAGAAAGCAGACAAGGACAAGCACAACATCAACAAAACCAACACTTCTCTTGTCTTCAGAAGATGCACAGTAACAGGAATCAGACGAAATTCACAGCTTTTAATTCCACAACAAGAAGCAAGAGTGTTTGCACAAGACACTGATGGGTAAACCTGATGCATTCTCCTATAAATAAGTAAATTCTTTTGCCTTGCAAAAGCCAGTGTGATATCTGCCTCCACTACATTAAGTCTCATGTTTATGCTGTTCTCATGACACGCTATTCACCAACACATCACTTGAGGGTTTCTTTACTGTGGGAAGTAGGATCCACAAGGTAGTCAGTGAAGTTGGTGTGTTCAGTACAAGCAAGAGACAACTTACACTCAAAAGATTTTTTTCTGACAGAATTAGGCTGCTTGACTTTCATGCTTGAAGCTCACATTCAGTTGGCCTTGCTCACATATCTTTTGTTATAGATACAATGCAGTCGCTTGCTTTAGTCAAATTAGTTATCCATCTACTAAAATGAAAACCATATAATTTCTCATACAGTAAAAAAAAAAAAAATATCAAAAGTCCTCACCTAAATATAAGGACTTCAGAGCTGTGGTAGGGAATGGGTTTTTGGCTGAATTGGTAGCAAGACTGAGAATTACAGATCTTCCGGTACATGGCAGATTTGTATTGAATTTGGAAAGGCAAGATTCTAATTCACATCCTCAATATCTTTATTTTTAATAAAGTGCTTCACTGAGAAGCACTCTTAACAGTGACACTGTGCTCTACTAAAAAAATAAAATTAAACTAGCAGTGTCAGGTTTTCAATATTGCTCAACTGCCTGTAACGAAGTCTGAAAACATGAGTATACTTACTTGTAAGCTTGTTGTGACTCAGAACCAGCTGTGTGATATGAGACAACGTAACTGCAAATGAAGAGAGAAAGAAGTTAGTTTACAGAGGTGGCAACTGAGAGCTTGCAGCTATTCCAGCTAAAAAAGAGGCTAGTTCTTCCCTCTGCTCCAGCACCTCCAGACTCATATGCACTGTCACAACACACAAGGCAAGCTCACGACTCCAGGACATATCCGGTCACTCCTCTGCCCCTTTACCTCATATTTTGGCTCCTGAATCAAACACAACCCGAGCAGCAAATGCTGGTGCCCCCCAGCAAAGGCACAGTTCTTGGCACACAGAAACACCTAATTTCCACCCTTTGAATCCTCCCCAAGGAAGACTCGATAGCTGCTCTAACACTTCTCCCAACAGGAACACATACCACATGAGCAATTATATTTCCACGCATTCCCTGTTCATTACCTTCAAGTCACTGCTAGATTTAAGTCCTAAGTACCAACAGCTGCATTTACAGCCTGGCACCCATAAAGCACAGTAGCAGATTGGCATAATTTTTGAGTGGCAAAGGGACAACACATAATATTTACTCAAATTAATTGAATAATCTGATTGATACAAGCCCCTCAGATTCCACCTTATTGAGCAAATGAGTACGCGGCATGAGGCAGCTACAGAGACCAGTACTCGCCTTATGCTTCATCATTCTTTACATTTCTTCTTGCCTACTTCCACCCTCCACAGCACTACCGCTTTCCCTAGAAGGTCCATAGCCTACAACTGACATTACCTGATCAGAAAAATATCCTAAAATAGTCAGAGGAGAAACTCACACCTTGAAGTAGTTCCCAAACATCTTATTCCTCCCTGTAAAAGGTTCACTATACTTTACTGAACTAGGAACACTGAGAGATTTTCCTCCCCTACACTTTTTTCCTAACTTCTAGTGTAGCTTCTTCAAAACAGCTCTAGAAATTACACCTGGCTGCCCCTCCTAGGCAGCTGGAAAACTTTCCTGCCTGGAGGACAGCTGAAAGCAGTTATGTCTCTCATCCCTCAGGCACCAAACATCACTAACGTTAGCCCAGAGATAGCCACGGGGTTCTTGCTGCCTTAGAGAATGAAGATGACCTGGGGAGCATGTCTGAAAACTGGCCATCCTACTCAATACTTACTAAACTGCAAGCTGGAGGAAACAGCTTGGAGAGCTTTTACTTATTGATACAGCAACCTGTTTCAGCTAACCCCTGAAAGCTCCTACCTTACCAGAGGCAAATATAACCTGTTAGCAGAATGAAAGCAGTCACTCAAAGGCAGAAACAGATTGCAGAGTTCAGTGTTAAGAAAACAAAAGTGTCACCACAATTCCCTGTGCAATTGCACGTTATGGAGGAAGGAAAGGCAAGGAGGAGAACGGAAGAAACAACGCACCCACCCTAAATCTCTCCTAAATCATGGGCACTCTAAGTACAGCCTGCACCAGCCCGTAAAGCAGAACAGCAGGACGGAAAACAGAGCCCATAGAAAGCCTGCAAGTGCACTGTATAAAAACCAGCACTAAAGGGCAGACAAGTGCAGCAGCCTCCACAACAGGCTCTAAACTAAAAGCCACATCAGCAACTGAACCATAAGCAACCACTTGCACCAGCAATTACTTACACATAAAGCTAAATATATGAACTCAATTTACACAAAGTAATTGAGAGAAAGTGCTGGGGATAAGTTACAAGCTTCTGAACAAATGCCCAAGTATTTCTTCCTCTTAGTTTAGATGTTTTAGTAGCTGTGACAATCACGGAAAGTCAACATTTTACGGTCCCTTGACTAGCAGGAGCCCAGCCAGCAGCAGGGCAGCCCATCTGTCGGCAGCCTGAGATGAAAAGTGCTCTAATCTGACATCACCAGCTCTATGACAACCTAATCTAGAACATAGCCAGATCCAAACTGACATCACCAATGCCAGGAAAAACACATCTTTTCCTGCATCTAACTTAAGAAAACAGGTCATTCTAGAGCTCTGAGGCTTTGCCTTGACTCACCGGCATCAACAAGACATCTGCCTTGCTCCACTGTACTTAAAGAGAGTCAGTAATTTGTGACCATGCAGTGGAGTTACCTACTCTGCCCTAGCCCCTTTCCCCACCCTACAAGGAGAGCAATGGCTATCTTCTGCAGCACAACTCAAACAGCTTGTGTGCCTACCCACACCCTCCTGTCCAAGAGGCCCTCTCTGTCCCCATCAGCCAACATGCGAAAGGTCCGATTAGTCAGGTAAGCTCTTCCCCAAGCCTCAGACGTTCAAATCGATCTTAGGTGACCACAAAGTCAGGAAAAGGCACCCAACACATACCAAAGACTTCCACCAGCTTTGTACCCTCAGGCCCTCCCACACTGGCCGTGGTGAGAACTAGCTACTTTGATACTGCACAAAGTTGCTCCCACCTCACTTTAAGACAGGCTTTCAAAGTAGAGAAGTTGAACTGAAGTGGCAGAACAAGACCAACTAACCGTACCTCACCTCCACACTACGAAGCTGGCCCCTCAGCACGAGCATGGCGGCCAGCTGGGCTCCCCACAGCCAGGCTCCCAACATGGCTGCCGCCGGGCAGAGGGTGCGTCGCCCACACTGAACTGCAGCTGCAGGGAACGCAGCGCTGAATCGGGCAGCCAGGCACAGAGTGAGTTTTAAGAACATTTGCGCTATTTCTTTTATCCTTTGATTTATTACAGCAGAACAGAGACTGAAGCTGTTGCCACACTTCTGTGGCCCTGACCAGTTCATTCCAGTTTTGCACAGACCTTTGCCAGTTTCAGGACAGAATCCAAAATTCATATAATCTGTTCTTTACTTTGTTGGAGTCCATAATGAACTCCACCACATTAAAACCAGAAATCCCCAATACATGCCTTTAAATAAGACTCGAGAAAATACACGAGGAAAGGCTCAAATTTAGTTCATACATCCATCAATACAACAGGCCTCTCAACTCTTTTCTGCCTGTGAACCACCTCTTCTATGAAGAGGATATGACTCCTGCGAATGATTATTTGTTAACACTAAGGTTAGACATGTCCAAGGTTATCAAAATAAAATAAACTCGAGGCAGTGGTAAGGAAGCAGTCTTGAGCTGCCTCCCCCATGCCCCACCAAGTGAAACACCCATTTAAAGCATACAAATCAGAATGACAACTCAAATAGACTAAACGAAGTGTTTAGGATATTCAGTTTCTGTGCTCAAGATGTAATTCAATATTTGAAAGAAAAAGCATATCAAATAATATCCATAACTCCTGCAAGAAGCCAGTTTATGAGGAGACACCACTTACATACAACTTATTTGCACCACAGAAGTATAAAGTCACTGAACTGCACCAAGTGCTAGACAGCAGCACACATGCAAGTACCTGCTCTGGATCACCTACGAACGGAACTAAGAAACAAAAGAGTAAGAAAAGGGAAGTGTTTTACTAACAGAGAACGGAAACAGACCTTGATCTAATCCATGTGTATGCATATGGTGAACCTTGCCTGCCCCGATTTCATCACTTCTATACATCGGAAGTGAGGACGCTTACTCAGATGCATTTAAGCTTTGGGGCTGCAGACTCAAGTCTTCCAAACATCAAATTC